TCACACAGTTGTGGGAACAACGTTGAACTGTGTCATTGAAGTGGACTGCATCAGAGTTAGCTCTCCAAGTGAAGGGATTTCATTGGACTTCTGTATGCACGGCTCTCCATTTTCAACAATCCACTAAGTTAGTGTAGACTGGGTACTTACCTTGTATGGGGCACTTGGGTGAGATTGCTGTTCTCTACCTTTGTACATTTGATGATTTGTTAGTGGATTGGACGCCTATGTGATCGTCCCCCAGATGTAGATACACACTGTATCGAACTGGGTAAACTTCTTGTGTGTTGTTCCTTTCGCTGTCTTTCTTAGTGTTATCTTTCCGCAAGTTATTTAGTGGTTCAACTATCTGACTGATATCTTTGCTGAATCTGTCAGACTAATTTGTCAGTCTTTTATTTAATACCTTTAAATTGAGAGAATACAAAATTACATTACTAATTCAAGCCAGCATTTGTTGACTTATTTTTGCATTGAATTGCATACGATATTGTATTTATCCACTTCTAAGTCTATATCTGACCGAGGATGTTCTTGTATAATGTTGGATGGAAATTAAACCATCTTGTGATGATTGATGAATATTAAAGTCAAGGCTAAATCACGAGGATAGAAGTTACTTTGATTCATCAATTGAAGCTTCAGAAATTTTCGAACTGTTTGCAGTCCATGGTACTTTCCTTCTCTTACTGTATTGTGTGCTTATATGGTCGTTTTATCAATTCAATTCCTGCCTTCCTCAACCTTTTTATTTGGGATGTTGCTCATGATATACTCATTTATGGTCTTTGGTCTTAGTGAGTTAGTGGTGATTGCTGAAAGCAGGGTATAAGAAGTGAAATGTGTTGCATTTGGTAAACTTGAATTGGATCTGATTTGAACTTTTATTTGGAATCATCTATTCCAATAAGAAAACTAAGTTGTAGGTTTTATCAGTGTTAGGTTCAATCGTTCAAGTATGCACTTGAGCTTCATTCTTCTTGTTCTGGTGGAATATTCTATAGTCATTGAATGGATTATCCATGTTTAACCTTTCCAAAGTAACCACTGGATCAAAATTGAATATTAAATCATCTGATAGATTCATGTTTCAATATCTCCTTGTGTATACCTGACCATCCTTTTGATAATAGCAAAAGTGGAACTTGATCTTAAAGTAGTAGTGAAGGTGATCAAGGGTGACAGTGGAGCGGATTAGATCAAGAAGTGTCTATCTCCACGCCCTTCCTCACTTCTCACTCTTTATTAATCACTAAAAAAAGTCTAGATAACAATGGAATGATTTAATTTAACTGTTATTTTCTGAGAAATAATATGAGTTTTTAGAATGGTTAAGGCCTCTAATGAAAAAAGAGTTGATGTCTTGCAGAAGTACAGGTTATAGAGAAGCCAGCTGAGGCCAAGAAAAAGCCAGCTGAAAAGTAATTTTACTCTCAAATTGCTTATGTTAAGCTCCATGTTACATTGGTTTTAGCCTTTAGGTTCTATTGGATTCATTGTTTATCATGTTTTAATACATGTGTGCAATGCAGGAAAAAAGGCAAGATCTACTGAACCAAAAGCCAAGAAGGAAAAGAAGGCTAAGAATCCCAATGCACCAAAGCGCCCTCCCACTGCATTCTTTGTTTTCATGTACTAGTCTATTCCGTAATGCATTCTTTGTTTTCATGTACTAGTCTATTCCGTAATGTCTCATAGTCTTATACAAACTTATATAACAAAGTTTTGCTTCTGAAAAGTGACAATTTAATCAATGTTTCAGGGAAGAGTTAAGGAAGACTTTCAAGGAGGAAAATCCTGACATCAAGAGTGTTGCTACGGTATGCTCTAATATCCAAGTGTGTTGAAGTTATGGATAATCTTGAAGAGCAATTTATCTGTTTGGTCTTTGTTTGATGTATTATTTCTGCATTTATAACTTTATGTTGCCAAGGAGGGTGGTGAGAAGTGGAAGTCCCTGACAGATGAAGTGAGTATAGTGTTGCCACTATTTGCTATCTTTTACTTTTCCACAATATGTATTGGGTTCCTGATTCTTGTAATCTCAATGCTTTGAGCAGGAGAAGAAGTTTTATATTGTGTTGATAGTATATTTAGTTATGTTTGTGTTCATATATAGCTATTAATATTGGTTTAAATTTGTTGTTGAATAGATAGGTTTAATTTATTAGGACTCTATTATTATTAGTATTCGTTACCTATTGTTACTAGTATTAGTCTTGTATTAGGTTTGCTATTCGCTACTATATATATTCCTGTACAGACTTATTATTTGATTCATTCAGAAATATTATATCTTCATCTGGTATCAGCAGGTTCTTTTTCTCTCTCTGTGGCGCACCTCGGTTCTGATGGCGGTTCTATTGGAAGTTCTGAACGGACTGTTTCTGAGGCTGCGCTTGTGGCACCCCTGCAGTCCGGGGTGTCGTTTTCTTCGGCTCATCACTTCGTTTCCATCAAATTGACATCCCATAATTTTTTGTTTTGGCGCACTCAGCTTCTTCTGTTCCTGGATGGCCAAGGATTATTGGGTTTTGTCGATGGAACGTCTGTGTGTCCCCCGTTTACTCCGATTACGGTACCTTCTGCCGAGGAGGCTGCTGCTGCCGTGTCTTCGTCGGCCGTATCGTCTGCTGCTCGGAGTGCATGGCTTCGTCAAGATAAGGCCGTGCTCTCCTTGTTGATCTCGTCCTTGTCCGACGAGATGATGCATCTTGCCATCGGTAAAACCTCCTCTCGGCGATCGAACAGGTTCTTGGTTCGACGACTCGGGCCCGTGCTCTTCGGTTGGTGGGCGAACTGCAAGGATTGCGGCAGGGGGATGCTTCGATCCCGGATTATCTTGGGCGTGCTCAGGTGCTTATTGAGGATTTGGCACTTGCCGGCCGTTCGGTGACACTAGAAGATCAGAATATGTATATATTCCGGGGCTTGCGGTCCGAATATCGCCCTTTGGTGGCGTCGCTGACGAGGGGTGCTCTGGTGTCTTTACCCGAGTTATCCGATTTTCTTGTTTCGCAGGCCTTTATATGTTCTGATGATGGTGGTGACGTTGCTGCTGCTCCGGTCGCCATAGCGGCTCAGCGAGGTGGAGGTCGCTCGGGCGGGCAGCAGCGTGGCGGCGGCAATCGAGGCCGAGGTCGTGGCAAGGGCCGAGGCCGCGGTCGAGGTGGCGCCGGGGCTGTCCAGTGCCAGATCTGCTCCGGCGAAGGCCACTCGGCCGCTTCGTGCTATCGTCGTTATGATGGCGCTCCGGGGCCGCGGGCACATGTTGCATATTCTGTTGATGATTCGGCTTCGGTTAATCCTCAGCAGTGGTTTCCTGACACTGGTGCGTCGAATCATGCCACTCCGGATCCGTCTTTAATGTCCTCGGCGGTTCCTTATAATGGTCCGGATCATCTTCGTGTTGGTGACGGTAAGTGTTTACCTATTGTTAGTACTGGTTCATCTTCGTTAGCCGCATCTAAAACACTGTTTCGATTGTCTGATGTTCTTCATGTTCCTGGGCTTTCTGTGTCTTTATTGTCTGTGCAACGGTTTGCTCGTGATAATAATGTCTTTTTTGAGTTTCACCCTGATTGTTTCTTTGTGAAGGATCGTTCAACCAGGGAAGTTCTATATAAAGGGCCGGCTTCGGGGGTCTCTATTCTTGGCCTGTCTCTCGTTCAAGTCCCGCTGCGTTTGTGGCCTCTCGAGTCTCCTCCGACGTGTAGCATAGCCGGTTGGGTCATCCTCACCCACGTGTCTTGCGGCAGATTTTAAATTCATGTTCTATTCAGTCTAGTTTTAGTGATACTTTGGAATTGTGTCGTGCTTGTATGCTTGGGAAATCCTCACGGTTTCCCTTGCCTCGTGTCAATACTACTACGTCTCATGTTTTAGAACTTATATATATTGATATTTGGGGCCCAGCGCCTTTTCTTTCCGTCAATGGCTTTCGTTATTTTGTTTTGTTTGTTGATGACTATACGCGCTATGTATGGTTTTATCCTATGCGTTTGAAAACTGATGTGTATGCTATCTTCGAGCAGTTTCGGTCACTAGTTGAGCGTTCATATGGTCGTAAGATTGTCTCTATTCAATCTGATTTAGGGGGAGAGTATAAACGGTTGCACCGTACTTTTGTCTCTTTGGGTATTAATCATAGGCAGTCTTGTGCCTATACCCATGAGCAGAATGGTAGAGTTGAGCGTCGGCATCGTCACGTTGTGGAAACGGGTTTGGCTCTCTTGGCCCAGGCTTCAGTTCCACAACGATATTGGGATTATGCCTTTGAGACTGCGGTCTATCTCATCAATAAGATGCTGACTCGGGTTTTGGATAATGATAGTCCTCATTCTCGGTTGCATCGTTCTAGTCCTTCTTACTCTTTCTTGCGTGTGTTTGGCTGTCGCTGTTATCCTCTGTTACGCCCGTATAATCGTAACAAGTTGCAGTATCGGTCTTCTCCGTGTGTGTTTCTTGGTTATCCGTCTTCGTTTCGTGGCTATCGTTGTTTTGATCCTGCTACTAACAAGGTATTCATTTGCCGTCATGTGCGGTTTGATGAAACCATATTTCCATTTGCTTCTTCTGTCCCCTCTCAGGTCTCTAGCTCTCGCCCGATTGAGCCGTGGGGTGTTGGCGCCGTTCAGGTTGGCGCGAGCTCCGGTGTTTGTTCTGCTGGGCCGGATCCTCGTCCGGAGATGGACACGGATTCCGGGGCTGCTGGTGCTGCTTCTGATTCCCGCACCGAGACTGCCGTGGCTCCAGATGTGGCAGTCTCGGGTGCTCCTAAGGCGCCCAAGCGAGGTCGGCGCACGGTAAAACCGGTTCCACCTCGGTCTCATGTTATGGCGACTCGTTCTTTGGGGCCGACGCAACATGTGGCTCTTATGACTGTTTCGTGACATGGGTGCTCGAAGTTCAAGATTCGTGACATGGGTGCTCCGTCCTTTTTTCTGGGCATTAAGACGGTCTCTCGTGGTGATGGTTTGTTTCTTTCTCAGTAGCGATACATGCGAGATATCTTGAGCCGTGCAGGTATGGTGGACTGCAAGCCGTTGGCTACTCCGGTGCCTGTGACTCGTCCCGTTTCTGAATCGGTGGTTCCTTATGCCGATCCCACGCAGTATCGCAGTCTTGCTGGGGCTCTGCAGTATCTTACTGTCACTCGCCCGGATTTATCTTTTGCTGTGAATCGGGTCTGTCAGCATATGCACTCCCCGACTACTGAGCATTGGGCAATGCTCAAACGTGTTCTGCGGTACGTTAAAGGCACTTTGCATTTTGGTCTGTTTATTCGCCTATCCTCCTCTGTTGCAGTGCATGCTTTTTCGGATTCGGACTGGGCTGGGGACCTCGCTGACAGAAAGTCTACTAGCGGCTTTGCGGTTTTTCTTGGTGACAATCTGATCTCTTGGTCTTGCCGGAAGCAACGTACGGTTGCTCGTTCGTCTACAGAGGCCGAGTACAAGGCACTAGCTGACGTGTCTGCTGAGGTCACCTGGTTGGTTTCTCTATTGCATGAACTTCGGTTGCCGTTGGCAGCTCCTCCCACTCTCTGGTGTGATAATCTGGGTGCAACTTATCTCTGTTCCAACCTGATGTTCCATGCTCGTACGAAACATGTGGAAATTGACTATCACTTTGTTCGTGACAAAGTGGCAAAGAAAGAGTTGCAGGTTAGCTTCATTTCTACTAAGGATCAGCTGGCTGACGTGTTCACTAAAGCTCTCCCTGGTCCGCGTTTCTCTACTCTGTGTGGCAAGCTCAATGTTGTAGCTAGTCCACCTTGTGCTTGAGGGGGAGTATTAGGATTCTATTATTATTAGTATTCGTTACCTATTGTTACTAGTATTAGTCTTGTATTAGGTTTGCTATTCGCTACTATATATATTCCTGTACAGACTTATTATTTGATTCATTCAGAAATATTATATCCTCATCTAATTAGTTGTTATTAGTTTTTTAAATTTGTTGTTGAATATATAGGTTTAATTAGTTATTATTAGTTTTGTAAATTTTTTGTGTGAATTTGGATAATTCGGTTTTATTTTGAGCAAATACCAGGGAAATATTGTATTTTTAAATAATTTTTTTTTAAAAAGAAAGAGTAAAAAAAAAAAAAATACTTTCCGCGAAAAGTATTTAATAATAAATTATTAATTGACTTTCCGAGGCACCTGTCACGCAACAAGTGTCTCGGAAAGTCTGTATTAAAAAAAATAAAAAATGCTTATTTAGCTTTCCGCGACACCTTATGCAGGTGCCTCGGAAAGCTAAACACTTTCAGAGGCTCTGGATTCCGAGTCACCTGTACAGTTGACTCGGAAAGTGTTTTATAGGAGTCTCAGATAACTTTTTTTGTACTAGTGAATTTAAAAAATAAGGAAAAAGTGTCAAATGGGCTCCGTAAGTCAAGTTGATAGTGCAATTGGGTCCCATAAGTGAAAAAAAAAACTTCATTCAAGTCCCCTAAATCTGTAAAATTGTTCAAATTAAGTCAAAGTTTGACTTGTTTATCAGGTTAAATGCATACAGTGTTGACACGTGTCCTTATGTTATTTTTTTATTAAAAATATTATTTATTATAAATTAATTAAAATAATAATAATAATAATAATAATAATAATAATAATAATAATAATAATAATAATAATAATAATAATAATAATAATTAAAAACAAAAAACAAAAAAAAAAAACAACCGTGGCCGTTCCTGCCTCGGCCGTCTTCTAGATATGGACGAGGGCTAAGGCCTTAGCCGCCGCCCTCGTTCCAGACGGAGGGGACTCATCGTTCCAGTCCCCTCCGTCTGGAACGAGGGCGGCGGTGAAGGCCGTAACCCTCGTCCAAATCTAGAAGCCGGCCATGGCCGTCTTCCTTAGACAGCTGTGGCCGGACGACCATGGCTGTCCTTGAAGAAGGAAGATAGCCACCGGCTGTCCGCGGTGGCTGTTTTTTTTTTTTTTTTTTTTGTTTTGTTTTTTTTTTGTTTTTTGTTTTTTGTTTATTTATTTATTTATTTATAAAGTTTTTAATTATTATTTTAATTAATTTATAATAAATAATATTTTTAATAAAAAATCAAATAGGGACACGTGTCAACACTGTATGCATTTAACCTGATAAACAAGTCAATTTAGACTTAATTGAAAAATTTTACCGATTTAGGAGACTTGAGTGAAGCTTTTTTTCACTTAGGGGACCAAATTGTTCTATCCACTTGACTTAGAGGCCAATTTGACACTTTTTCCAAAAAATAAAACTAAAAAGGAGAGTGGTCACCTATTAACAAGCATTTCTTTTATTTTCTTATAACAAAAACTAAAATTAGCAACAACAAAAAATCAATTATTTGTCATCTGCCACTTCACCTTCAATGAAGTCCTTTAAATCGGCAATTATAATATTGCCTATTCAATAGGATCCTATGTATATAGTAATTTTTTATGAATGCAACTACAAGGATACCTTTATATTTTGATTTTGAAAAAAAAAAAAATAGTCACACACCATTGATGACAGCTGATAGCGTTTCAGTTGACGGACAATCAGTGTGACTGTTCGTAAACAAACTAGACATCTATAAATCTATGATTGTCACTAAGTAGCCACATTCATTTGACAAAAGCAACATGGTTGTTTTCTCTCTTTGAACAAGTTCCTAGAGGATTGAAGGAGGCCACCATAACTATTTTTGTAAAATTTGAAACTTTTTATCTAGATAATCATACTCCGTAGTTATTATAGACAACCAATGTAGTGGTTATCTATCAACGGAAGTTACCACTAGCCGTCAACAAAGACATGGTTGCGCTTTTTAATAAAAAATTTACCAAATATCACGTGTAAGCCTAATTAGCGCTACATCATTGGAGACTAAGACTTAATTACACCATTTTATCAATTTAAAAAACTCCATTGAATTATTCTTTTAAAGTTAAAAAGACCTAATTGCATTATCCATTAAACTTAAAAAAGTTTATTTGACATTTTTTAAATGTTTTATTCATTTAAAATGATTCCCACGTTCTAACCAATTCAATAATAGCTATTTGACATTTCTTACATTAAAACAATCTTAAATATGAAAGACAGTGACATAAATAAAATCATTGAAGACATACTTTGTACAAAAGTTTGTTGACACTTGTCATAAATGAAATCATTTGAGACATTTAGCACAAAAGTTTGGTGACACTAATCATAAATCAAATCTTTTGAGATATATTTGATACAAAAGCTTGGGAAAGCAGCACTTTCCTTGCAAGATAGTATTGGAGGAATCATAATGAACTTAAGGTGGAGAATGAGGAAACTTAGAATCATATAGATTATCCTGCAGAGAGATAGCTTGCTAATATCAGCTAAAAGTGAAACTGCAACTTGCCAAGAGGAGGGAACAACATAAATCTAGTATATGGGGATACAAATGTACACCAAACACAGACAACAGATAATTCTATTCCACACAGAAGAAAGCCCCAGTGCCCTTATAAGAGAACTCCACTTATGCATCCAAAACACTTTGATCTTTCCTCACTCAGACAAATTACCATATTGCCAGGATTGAACTCCACTGACCGGGGTCGTCTACATCAATGCTGCCTGAAGCAGACCGATGTTCAGTGTACTTGCCATTGTAGCTGTAAATTTCCAAGTCTCTCCACGGAGTTGGATTAATTTCGTCTGTAAAATCAAACCATCTTGGTGTGTGAACTGATGCCCATTTGCTTCCCGGTTTCTCTTTTCAGCTCTTTGCCTATCTTCCAAACTAAAAAGAACAAAAACTTAAGGCAAATTATCCTAATCACATTTGTATGCATGTGTTGAGTACTCAAAAAAAAAAAAAAAAAAAAACCAAGGAAGGTTAACAAACCTGCTTTTTTCAGCACCTACTTTGGAGATATCGCCCATTTCAAGTGCAGCTCTATCAGGGCGCAAACGAGAATCAGATGCTAATAACTTTTTTGGAGCAGTATCAAAGCTGTTGATTTTGTGAGCAAAGTGAGTGTACTGAAATTTACCATTTTCTGGAATAGGGGCTACTCGCCAAACCTACACAGAATTCATGAGGCCAGGCCATATATTGCCTGTGTTATCTTACACAACTGAACAATCATCATATTAACAGTGACACAATCCAGGTTATCTAAGAGATCAAAACATCATAATTACTTCATACCAATGCCCTTTACCCACTTTATTTATGTTGTTCGTCCAGTGAAATTATATCACAAATCAATTCTACAAGCTTTTTTCCTACTTTTATAACAATGAGATACTGTGCACACAAAGAATCTGAACAATGAGAGAGGAAGCAAGTTAACCTCCTTAAGTTCTGTGCCGGGAAGAGGCTCGCCTTCCATGTCACATTGTTGATAACTCATTGATTCATTCCATTTTCCAGTCATCAGTATTTTTGGTTCCTCATCAGCATTATAAACATATCCATCAACCTCATATCGACCAGCCCTGAGCCCAAAGATGCATAGTCAGTTAGGCATACTAGAACCAAAGGTATTAACTTTTTACCTCATAAAAACTGGAGAAATAACACTACCACTGAAAGAAAAAAAAAAAAAAAAACAATAGGGCTGAGCAAAGAGAGCACAATCTCCAAACTCTCCTATTATGTCGTCCAGAAGAAGCAATGGTTCCCAGAAAATCATAAACAATTAAGTGCAAGCATAGTCGTTAAGTAAGATAAAAGCAAATTGCACATCATCATAGGGAAAAAGACTAGAATGTGTAGAAATGGTTGAGAATTAGCCAAAATATGTATTGACTTTTTTTTTGACAGAAATATGCAAAACTCTATTGAGAGTTGCGTTTTTGAACGTATTTCATCCGTATTTTTTTTTTTGTTAAATACATAAAACGCAACTGGTGGTTGCGTTTTTCGTATTGAATACGGAAAACGCATCTCCCACTACAAGAAAAATGCACATAGACAACGGTTATTAACCGTTGTCGTAGGGGTATAATTTCTGTTGTTGAAGCCAGTGTTGTTGTAAGTCCCGCGCATAGACAACGGTTTTTTAACCGTTGTCTTTTCTAGAAACAACAACGGTTTTTTAACCGTTGTCTATTCAGTGTTGTTGAAGCCGGTGTTGTTGTAAGTCACGCACATAGACAACGGTTAATAACCGTTGTCTTTTCTAGAAACGACAATGGTTTTTTAACCGTTGTCTATTAAGTGTTGTTGAAACCGGTATTGTTAAAAGTCACGCACATAGACAACGGTTATTAACCGTTGTCTTTTCTATAAACAACAACGGTTTTTTAACCGTTGTCTATTAAGTGTTGTTGAAGCCGGTGTTGTTAAAAGTCACGCACATAGACAACAGTTATTAACCGTTGTCTTTTCTACCAACGACAACGGTTTTTTAACCGTTGTCTATTAAGTGTTGTTGAAACCGGTGTTGTTAAAAGTCACGCACATAGACAACGGTTATAAACCGTTGTCTTTTTTACCAACAACAACGGTTTTTTAACCGTTGTCTATTAAGTGTTGTTGAAATCGGTGTTGTTAAAAGTCACGCACATAGACAACGGTTATTAACTGTTGTCTTTTCTACCAACGACAACGGTTTTTTAACCGTTGTCTTTTAAGCGTTGTTGAAACCAGTGTTGTTAAAAGTCACATACATAGACAACGGTTTTTAACTGTTGTCTTTTCTTTAAAAGACAACAGTTATAAATTGTTGTCTATTGTGTGTTGTTGAAATCGCTTTTGTCACACCCATAAACTGTTGTCTTTTGTAGAAAAGTCAACGGTTTCTAACTGTTGTCTATTGTAAAATAGACAACGGTTTTTAACCGTTTTTCAACTGCTTAAATTATAATCATATAAAAAAAAACAATTTATCCATTCACCATATGTTTCAAAGTGTAGTTACATAATTGTGCACAAGCTAATAAGGTTCAAAATAACAAGTCAAAAGACTTCCATGACCAATTCTAATTATCATCCAAGTCATAATACTACTACACAAAAAATAATTCCCCGAACCAATTCAAGTCCAAATAATCACAACGTTCTAATGACCAAATCATACCTACTCTATATGACTTGATAGAATATCGGCCCATTCAGAACGCACCATATCAATAACCGCTCTGTCATAATCAACTTGTTGAAACTACATGTAAAAAGTAAGAAAATAAATTAGTATAGATATAAATAATTTGCAATGAAATGCAAAATAAGTTAGGAGTAATTCGGAAAGCTCTCCAATCTGGAAGGTTATAGTACAGAAAAGCTAGATAGGAAACACTAAAATGGCAACTTGCTAGACAGGAAACTAAAATGGCATACTAGAGTCTATTCATGTAGAGTAAAATCAATGCATTGGCAATACAAATCTCTTCCTCAAGGCCCAAGCAAAACAAAACACATCCTCTATATAATGCCACTGCAACCAAGAACTTGACAATCTGGATTGATGAGAATCCTAATTTGCTCTTTAACTGTATGCAAATACTATCAAGTCAAATAGGCTCTATACCAAAGTTGGTTGACTTGTTTCTATATTCTGCCATATTTCCATGAAAAAGATCAAATCTTTGTAATTGAGTGTTTATAAGCCGGCCGGATTTTGACACTTAACACCAAACCACAAAGATTAAGCACACTTTAGTTTATAAGACAAACATGATTAAATAAAAGCTTCACATTATATTTCTGCCATAGCACCATACATTAAGATAAAATTAAGACTTCTTGAACGATACTACATTGAAGTGCAAAATCAAACCAACAAAGAGAACTATATTGCAGTAAAATACTTGGACTATACTATTTTGTGTACTTTGAACCTGCAGATATACTATTGTAGGTTTCCCTTAAGGAAAAGTTTCTTCTTGATGTGTCTTTGTAGATGATACTTATCCACTTCTACTGCTCCCAGTTACCCACTGATAGTTGATAAACAACAGGTTTTCTTATTACTGCCCTCAACTTAGTTAAGTGTTATCTACATTAGTTGAGATTATTCATTAAATACTTACTATGTTCTGTATAGGCGGTTTGTTTGGATGCTTGCAAGAAGCTCCATGAGATAGGAACATTTACTGATATGCTCTTGCCAGATAAGGGAAGTGGCACAGAATCTGAAAAGGTTGAGGAAAATGATGAAGGTGATCCCCTTCCTGGAACTGCCAGGCATAGGGAGTTTTATCCTGAAGGTGTAGCTGACATTCTCCGGGTTAGTTTCACTTAGTTTTGTTTTTTTGCTTTTTGCTTTTTGCTTTTTGTTTCTGTTTTTCCTTGTTTGACACTTCTGAACAGGTATTGGCCAAAATAATTAGGTGGTAGAAATTGAAGGGGAAGAAGAAAACCCCACAGGATCATTTTCTGATGCTCATGATGTGTGATGACTTAATAAGATCTATTGTAATTACTTGCAAAGCAGACACAATTGTCTATATAGTATTTTTCTTGTAGGTGAAGTCATTTTTTTCTAGTGAATTCTTTTTTTAGGTCCATGCAAATGAAATTAAATGTATTCCAAAGTTCCAAAGGGTCTAAAGTTGCAACTTGCAGCTCAATGACAAGTTTCTTATGCAGCACTTTGCACTTTGACAAATAAACAACTCGAATACAATGCGAAAAAAATCAAATATCACAGTTTGGTGCAGAGTTTAAATTACAAGGTTCTTTATTTTGTAGTTTAAATTTATTTGTTATAGTAAAAATCATTAAACAGATGATATGAAGAACAAAGTTGTCTCTCATTCTCAAAGACTTAAAGTGTATATATACACACGATGAAGCTAGAATAGGAAAGGAAGCACTAGCTCATGAAAAAAGGATTCGAAAAGAACTTGAGAAACAGGATCTTTTAAGGAGAAAGGTATATTTTTATGTTCCTTCAAACCTTTGGATTTTATTATTATTATTTTATTATTTATTATTATTATTATTATTTTTTTGCAACTACTTTCTGCAATTTTACTTTTGAAATCTGAAACAATTTTCTTTTCTCACTTAAGAGGGAAGAACAAGTGAAAAAGGAAATGGAAAGACTGGATCGTGAGAGAAGGAAAGAAGAACAAAGGCTAATGCGTGAACAACAGAGGAAGGAAGAGAGGTTTCAACGTGAGGAAAAGCGTGAAATGGAAACACGAGAGAAATTTTTGCAGAGAGAGCTTTTGAGGGTATGTTTGAGGGCGGTTTTATTTTAGTTTCTCTCCTTAAACTTCTGCTATATTCAGTGGCTGATAGCTACCATATTTCTTGTATATTGAGTCCAGGCTGAGAGGAAAAGACAGAAAGAAGAGCTTCGCAAAGAGAGGGAAGCAGCAAAACAGAAGGCTGCTATGGAGAGGGCAGCAGCACGGAAATTTGCTAAAGAAACCATGGAGTTAATTCATTTGTTTACACATTATCAAAATATACATGTTTGT